TAAGAGATTGGACATTCAGATGTGTTCAGTCACAGTTGATTTGTTATTTTTTATTGGCAAGGTTACTAACATTGACGAACTTTCCTTAAAAATTAGAGTTGGCCCAGGAATCCATTCTTGAACCTGGCTTGCCGAAGCAATCACCTCCGCGGAATCGGAGGACCAGGCGCTCCGCATGTGTTCGCCCTGGACAGGTTTGGGTCGTTGGGCACTCCGGACCATGTTTTGCATTGTTTTGCCCTTTCATCACTCAACAGAAACAAAGTGTAGGATCTGATAGCACCGGGTCATCATCATTATGGCGTCCCAACCCAAGCGATCCCAGGTATCACTCCGGAACAAGTTGACCGCCGATTTTGGCGGCGGTTGGGACTTGGAAGCGACTTGCACCCAGATGATGTCATCTTGAGGCCCCTTGATTCTCCTAGCGTTCGAAGTGAATCAGGCAGTAATTGTTATTTTGTGTTCATTGTTTGGAATGAATATGGGACGACGACTAATTACTGACTACTGCCTGAGGACCAAGCAACGCATGCATGATGAATCATTCAGTCCGCGAGTCTTCTTGTACTTGCCAGCTGTGTTGGCCGTGCAAGTTGCCATGACCTGCCCTGTTCCAGAAGGTAGGGACGCTCAGTTCATGTCATATTGTCATATTGAACTGTTTCTGGGTTTGTCTCAAGCACTGAAGGAACTCAGAGCCGACAGGAATATGTCCTTGCAAAGCCATAAGTGTTTGCAACCAGTTTTTGTAAAACTCATGCCCTTCAGACTTGGCAGGACAAGTTGCGAAGTTGTAGGTTTCTTTCTGAGTGTTGTGCCAGTTGTGGCCAGCGACCGGCACATTGATCCCAACGACAAAGAGCATTGGAAGAAATACGCCAATTTGATGCGAATCTGGGCAGTTATGTGTTATTAGACTACGCAGTTTGATACCGCCTGCACACACGATGGCTTTTCCATGGATACTCTATACATAACAATTCAAGGAGAAGAGCCGTTCTGCATGCACCGGGCTGCCGACTACTTGGATGCGCTGGCTGATGATACTTTGGACCTTGCCCCCCTCCTGCCCATCGACAGGCTTAAGAATTTAAGTGTGTTTGAGTGAGCTGTTTGGGAGTCAATCTATGTTGCTGATTCATGTTACTGTTTGACTTGCCGCAGTATGACCCTGGCACCTGGGCCTTCTGTGGGGCACGGCGTTCATGGCCGGGCTTCAGCAGGAGGAGTTAGCTTTGAGCCAGTGACCCCCCTCAGGTCAATAGAAAACTTGTGAAACGCTCGATGTATGTCAAGTTTTTTTTGTGGGTGGTTGCCCTTGTCGCTGGGACTACGTTCATATCAGTTGAAATAATGTGTTCCCTATTATGGGAGGTTCATGGTCCACTGGCCGACTAGTCTTAGTAAGCCTTTGGTGCGGCCTGCAGCCAGAATAAAGCACAATCGCCCAACTGAAGTTAAGAGTGAGTCTGCAGGACTCTGACATCACATCGCCCAACATCGCCCAACGCCAAACAAACCAGCGTTTAGCCAAATTCAACCAATTTGGTGGCAAAATATAACTAGCGCCGTATCCAGCCAGCGCTCACTATTTAATCTGGACGCTTGTAATAAAGCGCCAGCTACTTCTACGATCAAACATGATCAATCGAGCCTGGCGCTGGTGCAAGGGTCCAACCGGCGTTTGACGCAAGGCTTTCCTGCGACAAGTAACAGCCGTTGTGCAGACGGTGATTGCCGGAGTGAACTTCAAGATTATTACGCATTATGATGTTCTACCCGACGACTGTGTGGGCAGTTGTTGGTGGGTGGCAATTTTTGAGATCGCACTTAGAGGCATAGAGAAACTTTAAGCGACAAGGGCAACGACCATTTTGATTTTTATAATAGAGTTGGAATCAGAAACCAAGTCAACTTTTACTCTGAGAAGCAAAATGTATAATAAATACGGACCTCAGGGTTCTGCTACTGTCAACACTCAGGTCCCAAATGAGTTGAGGCTTGAAGCGGAAAGGTTGCCCAAAAGGGCCTTAGACCGATACAAAGTGGCCCGGAAGGCCACTCACGTGTACAAAGCAGCTGCCAAGCTTTGGGCAGAGGGGCTCCAATGGAGCCGCGCACTTGCAATTGTCCAGGAGGCTTTTGATGAAATTGCCACAGAGGAGTAGTGCAGCCATACTGTGGCTGGTTTCATTTTTGTGCAGCTGATGTTTTTTTTGTGCAGCAAACAATGAAGATTGAGGTAGTTATCTTTTTGAATTTGAATAGAAGCAAGGGAAACGCAAGGTATGTTTGCGCAGCATGCTTGAAGCAGTGTGTATTTGTTTAGAGTTGAGCTGCACAAGTTGAAGTGCTTAAAGCAGAATTGGATGCAGTGGTTCAACCACACATAGCACGGGAAGTATGTTTACGCCAAGTGCCCGGGGAGTGCCTAAGGCCAGCCCCCTGATGCACTAAACCCTGGTGACTTCAGATGTGGAAACCACGATCAGCCACCTTCACATGCTGGAACTGATCCAGCCAACTTTGAGAGGTCAGGTTTTGTGCCTGCAGCCGCTGCCCCCAGGCACGAACACCCACTTCACAGGACTGGAGGTTTTCATGCTATGCTTATGTTTTTCATACAGTTGGTCGCGCAAGTGACTGCCCTTTCCAAAACTGTTGAAAAATTTGGGTGCGGCAGCGTAAGTTACAGGCAGTACTTTGTTTTTTTCTTATACTTGGTGCCACCACGGGCAATGACCCGAACGATGCCAGTGAAACATGCTTTGTGCAGTTTGCCGTTGGCATCCAGCACAAAAGGTGCAGTGTGTGATGCGCCCCAGCACAAAACCACGGATTTGTGACCCGCCACAGCACAAACCCAAACGGAGTTGTTGCCAGAATGCACAAACTGTTTGCTGTGCAAGTGAGTTCCGCAGAGCGACTGTGTGTAGCTCCAGTTTTCGCATGACCTTGAATAACTTCCGATGAAGTGCGCCAGGTGCTTTGGAAATTAACTTTGGCTTTCACGCTGGCTGGACCATTCCAGTGAGCGGAGTTCAGGAATGCTTTTCTTTTCATGCGTTCTTGACCTTGGAGCTCTAATTTGTTACCACTTCCAATGGACTACCATTGGAGGAAAGCTGGCGAAGTTGGGGTCCCAAAAAGCTACTTACTGCAGACTGTTGCTTAATGTCATTCATTTCATGTTCAGTGTGTAAACCTTTGCCCAGTTGCTGTCCAATGTCCTGCGTTCTGCAGTCTTTCTTGCACAGGATGCCTCCCACAAAACGGAAATCAGGTGATGGGGCCGGGAAGGCTGCCAAGAAACTAGCGATTGGAGATGGAACCCCGGATGCTAAGTGTGAGTCGGCCCACGCCGGCATTTTTGCTGGGTGGTTGCACTTTGACTTCAACATATGATTTCAATGGTGTTTTAGAAAGGCAATGAGTATTATTATATGATTGCGCTTGCCGAGTGCACCAGGCAAGAGAAGATTTTGGCCCACAAGAACATTGAGCAGTATTTCCGAACCACGTTTCAGACCAAGGATTTTGTCGATGTGAGTTGATATGTTTGCAAAGTTCTCCCATTTCTAATGGAATGTTCCAGGATCAGCTGACCAACTACGTCCAGTTCGTGGATGATAAATTTCCACCTGAAGCTGGAGTGTCAGGGCCTTGTTCACAATCAGACAGTGTGCGTGTGGTGTAGAGCATTTTGATGGTGATGACTCTTCCAGGGTTTCGTTGTTAGTGTCACTGTCGGTCCCAGACGAGGCGCTACTGCACGGCTTCTGATCTGTCCCGCCCGGGGCCGGTGCAACTGCGCCCATGGCAAGTTCCCTTTGCCACAGAGTGCGGGTTGAAGGGTTGCTTGGAGCCCGAATCTTTGATTGCATTCATTGCACTATGAATGGACACACACAGAACTTGGACAAGATGATGGCACTTGGTATCACATGCCTTGCAAAAGGATACTACCCGGCATAGTGTACACATTGAGCTGTTTGCTTGCCCGAGGATGTGCATCAATCCCTTTGCAACCTCATGTTGATCAATGGGTGCTCGACTCAAACGCTGAGCTTTTGTCCTTGTGTGCCCGCTCTGCCTCATCAGACGCTTTGAGGTGCACCACAGACACTGACAAGCATGCTGGAGTGGAGCGCCTTGCGGTCTCAAGCCTTAGACCCGACCTCGGGCTGATGCCTCCAGTCTGTTTGGACATCACAGATGTTTCGAAGGATGTTGACAAGGGCATGCTGCCACCGCATTCAGTTTTCTTGGTGAAGGGCTGGACACGGTCGGTTTGCGCCAACACCATCCTAGCTTGCTGTTGGGAGATGAGCGAGTTTCTTGAGGCAGGCCTGCAGGACCTTGAACCGCTCATGTTTTTAGCGCGCCTTTGCAGGCACTCCCAGAAGAGATCAAAAAGCTTCCCGGCCGTTGTTAGAAAGATGATAGACTAAAGGCCTTCATGTGATTGGTATGGATGTGCTTCAAGGACTTCTTGCAAGTCTTCTACTAGTTGAGGTCGCTGTGCACATTGCACGGGTTGGTCACTGTGGTGGCTGGCGTGGATGATGCAATGGATCTGGTAGCCCGAAACCGCGGTCGCTCTTAACTTATCATGATGTGAATGTTGCGCATTTGGTTTCCTATTTTTTCATGCCTATAAGGTTTAGTAGGCAACCCACTCATTAGTAGATGCCTTCGTTGGATTGTCATGCATAAATGGCTCTATCAACGAACCAGGTATTACCACCGCTGCTGCGCTGCGCCGCAAGCCCAACTGCTTCAATTTGCTATTTCAAATGAAGCTGATGGGCAAAATCAAGCCTGGAAGTGAGGATGACCTTGAGGCCATCAAACCATGGGCATTGTATGTTTTTGCATTGAACCTGAGAAACATAAAGGTACCTGTATATACATATATAGATATCATGTGGACACGTTGACTATTTTGTTGCACGCGACAGGCTTGCTTCAAGAATAGTTCCCAGCTCCGAGATGCTATGAAGGTGGGCAAAACCGAGAGCCAGGCTGCTCTCAACTTGCTCAAATTTGTGCATCCGGATATCACACAGCGACTGACAGACCTTGTGAAGCTACTCAGCTTTGATATCTACTACCTTTGTGGTAACTCTTTCAGATTCAGATGATGCTGCTGCAAGTTTGTCACAAAGAAAGTAACCAGATTTGTGGTAACCCAGGATTTACACAATGGGCAAGTTTGTCACCCATGAACCAGTCGCAGCTGGTATCTTTTGTGGCACGTACAACGGATCAACATCGCTGTCTGCTGCGTGGACGGCCCAATTGGGCAACAGTGTTGGTGTGCTCCTGCTTTTGTGCAACCGCATGGAAAGCGACTTCGCGAGCCAGCATATCAAGATGAGAAAGCCGTACACTTCAAAAGATCTAGATTTTTAGCTTGCATTGAAACTATCTATATAGCGGAATTATTTGATTATGTTCTAAGTTGACAGGGTTTGACTGAGACGCAGTGCGCCGTTCAAGGAGCCTCTTCAACGATGCTGCGCCGCTTACCTTGCATGCGTGGAAGCTTTCAGGGAGAGATTTCCAGAGGAGTTTGTGAAAAAAGAGCTGCCCACGATTGAGAAAACGAAGCTCGGCTGTCACCATTGTTATTGCAAACAAAGCTGGCTCAAGCCTTTGCAATGTGAACTTGAAGCTTGTTTTGAGGTTGTGAAGGTGAGTGATTTCTTAGAGTGCTAAGGTTTCTTTTGAAACACGCAGACGTGGACCTAGTTCAGCTCTTAGAGTCCTCGGTGCCCCCGGTGGACCTGGACAGAGTCGCCATATTCCGGCAAGCAGTCCTCCGATTCAACAAGGAGGCCATTCGCTATTCACTAGTCTTGAACATGTTCTTTCTGCGATCTACAGGTCTATACTATAATACTACTATATAACTATTTGTCAGGTTGACGAGAAGAAACTACAGGCCTCTGAGGAGTTCCTTGCCAATGTTAAGCATGCCAATGTCCAGCTGTCGTTCCTTCTTGTTTTCCAGAGGTGTAGTGTACCCAGGCTGCAAAGTGGAGAGGGCAGGGGTGGGGCCATTGAGGATTGCGCAAATGGTGGCGAATGCCACCTTCCAGCAATCTGAGTCGCAAACCCAACTGGGTTTGGACGCTCTCCAAGAGTTCCTAGACAAAGTGAAAGACCACGGACAGAGACAGGACTGGCTTCAGATCTGTCCCACTTATTGAGTTTTGTTTGTGCACTTGCTATGTGTTTGCTGTTGTTGGGAATTCACCTGGCCGTGACATGACAAGAACACTACCTGCGCAGGGTGCCCTGGACTGCAAGTACCTGGCAAGCCGCTACGAGAAAGGACGCACGGCTGTCACCTCATTCATGGAGAAGAGTCACAAGTACCTTGTAGTCTCAGATGCCCACAATTGCCATGCCGATTTGATTGAATATCAATCGCAGCTGTCAAACGACAAACCGTTCCTTGGTAATGATCATAAAGACTTTGTGCAATGAATGAGAATAGTGGACCGTTTCATGAAGCATTGTTGAGGTTGACGGTCATCTACGCGGATATGTCGTTGATGCCTGCCCGCTTTTTGGCTTTAAACATATTGATGGAAAGACGCCATAGAAAGACCCAATCATTAGGTTGTGTGACTGTCCAACGCCAACTGCACTCCAGGTGCTTTGGACATCGACGAAGCCGCCGACATCACGAAGTCTGTGTGCAACACAAATGGTTCGGCAATGCTTTTCTGCTTGATGCCTATTCACCATGGATCAACCGGCCGTGCTTCGGTGGTGCGACACACGCGAACCATAGAAGACAAATTGATGTCGACGCCCAGCATATTATATAAGGTGTGCATCAATGTTCGGTTATATGTGTAGAAATCTAACCAAACCAACGTTGCCATGAATTCAGGGTTGGGAAGTCGTTTGCAATGCATGCTCCTCAGGAGCATGGAACTCACAGAGATGAGCGTGCTGTTCGAGGAAAGCGGTCACGCCGGAGACAAGAGAAAGAGGACCCATTCATGTTACTCGGTCTAGTATCTCCATTTCTGCTTTCATTCATGTCAACTTCTATGTTGGTAAAGGTGTTTATTCCCCTGGCTTCATTGCTTTAGGCCGCCTTGGCATCAGCAATGTGCACAAGCAGACTCCATTTGCCAAGTCCAACTGCCAGCTAGGAACACTGGGGCCCGCGCCGCGGGCGCGTGTCATGGATTTGGTTTCAGAAGATCCGGACCGACCACCATCACCACCAGCGAGAGACATTTAGCTGAAGATCCAGTTTCATGTCCATAGAAGGTTGGTTTGATTGTTTTCCTGGTGTCATACTTTTCATCCTGACACCCACTACCCAAGGCAGCTCAGCGTGGAGTGGAGGGGACCAAAAAGATTGCGCAGGGCCTGTTTGAGGGGATGGACCTGGCGGACGGGACAACTGTGTTCATCGTTGATGTACTACCCAACACGTTCTCAAACAGCACTTACAATCACGTTTGATTGTAAACACATGTCGTTGTTGGTTTGGTGCCTCATTCAAACTCTGACATGATGCTAAAGAAGCATGATGGCCAAACCCAGGTATAATGAAATTGGCCAAGCGGTGTGTGAGCTTCAAATCCAGCACCTGAAGACGGGGAAGGGTCTGAACTTCAAATTTGTGTCGTATGGGGGTGACGATCGCGAGAAGATGCTTAAAAGCCACAGTTCTACCATTGCCGGAAAGCTCATGAACGTCCAAACCTTATTTTGTTGTGTGCAGCAACTTATGTTTTGCACGGGAGCTTCCAAATATGAAAAATTCAGACAGTTTATATAAACACATTCAGGAATGGTGGGACAGCTCAACCGATGCTGGCCCTTCCTGTCGACCAGAGACCCCTTTTCCTGAAGCCTGCCCCACGCTCAAGCTCTTGGCTTTTGAAGGACAGAAGGTTGCGAGCCTTAACTCGAAATAGTATTGTCATGAGATTTACAAGGATGCGTTCGAGCTTTGTGTTTTTCATAAATTTTATTGAATGTTTTCAGTATGTGCAAGGATACCCCCGGCCATTTCTGAGAAGCTTGGGCCGAAATCAAAAACCTTGACTGATATGGTTACCAGCTTCAACGAGAAGAATGCATCGAGTATGAAAATGTTCCATGCACCGGGCACTGCCAGTGTTCCTGCCCGCAGTGCTGGCACTTCAGGTCCAGTGAGTACCGGCCCTCGTACCATGCGCAGGCCAATCTTTGTCCCGCCAGATGCTCCCCTCGATACCAGCCGGCAAGTTATCCCCAGCGTGGAGTTGAAGATGGATGAGTTTGAAGCTGCGCACACGTGTCTAGCCCCAACTTGTTCCATACACACACACACCAATTGACCAACCTTTTGTATTTCATTTCCAAACAGTTCAAGATACGATCAAAGCTTGTATTGCTTCGCTCCGAAGGCCAATGGCCAAGTGCGATGCTATTTGCAACCCAGCAATCAAAGTTGTGATCACATCTACAAAGTCATTGTGGGTGTGCAACCCTTCTGATGGAGACATCGCGGTGGTGGCTGGAGAGCTTTTGGGTTTTGGTCCAGGATCTTTCCAAGAAACTGCGCCAGGCTTTGTTAGGGTCAGCGGTCAGTTACTGTTACAGTTGTTTCTTTGGGTTTGTTGAAGCCTACCTCAAGTTGAGAGTTGCAGGTGTTGCAAGAAGCAAAATGGATACGATCATCCCTTGGTTGCTGGATTCCGATTTGAACCTGATGGTCTTGGTCGGTGACAGCAAGCAGCTGAAATGCCTAGCAGACATCAGCTGCGACCTTGCAACATCATCGGGGGTGACGGAGCTCACGGTGGTTGACCATGACATTGTTCAGTCCACAGAGGCCAAGATGGGCAACCACAGTTTGCAGGTTCAACACTCAGGTCATTAACGTGTTTGGGAAAACTGGTTACTTCGTTGTTTTTGATTTCATTCTAATGGCATTGGTTGTAGCCCAAGGAGTTGTTTGTGGGTGGTCATGGCACCAATTTAATTCTATCATCTTTATTTCACTCGTTTTTCTCCTGCTCTGAAGGGTTCTTGGAAACTGGAGATTTACTTATTATACTGGATACTTGGTAATCAAGTGATTGAATTTTGAACATATATAGATTCATGTTACTATCTCATGTTACTATGTTATAGTTTGTTTGTGTTTTCCACTTTGCACTCCGGTGGCAGGCCACTTCAACGCCGATTGCATTCCGCTACGGAGTGACTACCAAGAGCAAGACCAACGCCTTTGAACCCAAGCCAGCCGCGGCCACTATGGATTTCAGGGCGAGCATGATTGGTGCTACCCTAGCAGGTTCCTTCAAGAAGTTCCATCCATCGACCAGCACTATCTGCCACATGTTATGGGAGGCTTCACACTTGAGATTCCATCAATGGGAGTTCATGTTTTGTCACTTGGACCAAGCAGCTACCACTATTTATGCTTTGCAGGTGAAGACGCAATCATCGATGCCCGCAGTGCTGACACCCATCAAGCCGAAACTGTGGATGACTGGTCGCTTCACTTTGAAAGCCAATTGTGCGGCCCAGTTGATGGCATGAATTTTGTTTTCTCCAGCCGGACTGCGGTTGACCAGTTCCAATGTTGATCAGTGAGAAAGTCCAAAAAGGTTCGACTTTAAAGCCGTGTTTTCCAGAAACGCAAGAGAGAGAGAGAGAGAGAGAGAGAGAGAGAGACAGGCAGACTAAGGGTTTGATTGAGACAGCTTCCTTTTGATTTGGTGAGAGTTGCCGTTGGATAAACAGGGATAAACAATGATGTTGCGCTCTTGGTTCCAGGGAGCATTCCATGTCGACTCTTTAAAGTCACCGGCCCAGCCAGCCATGCCCCTTAAAGCCATCGATGAAGATGATATGTCCGACGCTCCGCTGGAACCGGCAGATCAACCCCAGCCTACAAAAAAGAAGGAAGCAAAGCCAGACGCCACCACCCCTAAGGGTGAGCTTGCCCCAGCAGTTCCCAAAGGGAAAGCCAAAACCAAAGCTAAAGCAAAGGGACAAGCTAAAGCAGCTACAGCCAGTGACCAACAAGAAACAGAGCCAGCCCCGACAGCACCAACCCTGAAGCCAACCCCGAAAGGAGCCCCGATGAAGCGACCTAGCGCCAGCATTTCAAGCGGAAGCGCTCCCCAACCACCAGTTGCCAAGAAACCTGCCACCAAGAGTGATGAGAATGAGAAAGCCTACAAATACAAATACCACAAGTTGGCCAAATGGGGTGTCAAATATCGAGGACATGAAATCACCGTGGTGGGGGGTTGTCAAAAGAAGTGTGTTCAAACTACAAACAAGTTGTTGCCAATGTTGAAACAAAAGCCGCCCCCACTGCCCTGCAAGGTGTATCACGCTGAGGGATTGAGTGAAGAGACGATGATTGAAATCGTGGAGTCACTCTTAGCTTCTTAAGTAGAAACCAAACACATATCATATGGAAACATGTATATAATGTTCAATGTTTGGAGCCACACTTACTTTTGAACCTCACTGACTGTTTAGGAAGCGGTCCGGGTGGAAGCGGAAAAAGGAAAGAGCAAGGCGGATTTGAACACGCTGGCCGAACTGTGTCTTCAATCAATCTGTCTTCTTTTGCCCCCTTCCAAATACTTCTGAGTGGTCCCTTTTGAAAGTCTCCCCAAACAATGAACTACTATTCCCAACCACATTCAGGATCAAATGATCCTAGCCAAGAAGCAGAG